AAAAAAAACAAAACCACCAATGGACATAAGAAACAGCCACAGAATTCAGGTCAACATTTCCTTTAAATCTGATTAGAAGGTCCTCATGTTGCTTTCTAAATTAATAGAAAAGCTGCACGCAAGCTCTAAATACATTGAAAGCTCCTAGTTAGGAGCACAAAATCACTACCAGACTCAAACTTCATAGCCAAAAATTCAAGCTTCTTAGTGATTGGTCTTCTTACCAGATGCCCTTAAGGAAATTATAGCCTCGTAATTCACTTACCTCCGCCCATCTGAATGTATAATAGTTTCACCAGCCTTTTTAATAAGTAAATATATTAGACTGCTGCAACAGAGGACCGGTCATGAACATACCTCCCTGTAGCAGAGGTAAAGAAATCAATTAAACCCCCTGCTTCCCTCCCTGAATTTTTAATTAAAAGGGCCTCATGGCCTTACATGGTGTGCGTCTACCTTCAACATTTGAGACCTTTCATTTGTTTACTCTGTGTAGCTTATCATCCTGGCAAACATCTCCTCAGAGTGCAAGAAAGCAGAGTCTTTCTGTGCCTTACTTCTCAGGACTCATCCCTCAACTCCATGAGCTCTCGGAGGTTATAAAAAAAAAAAAAGAAAAGCCATAGGCCACAGTGTGATCAGGACTTGACTTTGGAAAGTTGTATTTGCAAGGAGACGGAATGAGGAGCAAAGGCTGATTGAGCTCAGCCAGGTTAGCGATAGCTTACAACAAAAACATTACTAATTTATAGCATCTTTCCTCTGCATCTAACCCCAGCGTACTTTACTGAAAGCAAACATAAGGATTGCTTCACTTATCATGGAATATAGCCGTATCTTACCTGCAAGCTATCCAACCGCATGTTATTCAACTGCATAAGACAAGCAAAAACATATCTGCAGCAGATCCCCAGGATTTCAATTCCAAATTTTCCTGACTGCAAAAAGTTATGAAAAGAAGTAGTTAACAGTTGCAATTTAATTTATGTAATTTCCAACATTAGTAGCAGTACACTAAGATGCTGACTTCGATCTCAATTCCAGAGAAAATCCGCTCTAGGATTTCCATTATTAAAACAAGCATTATGTACATGTTTTATACATACTGGGACTACAGATGCAGAAGTTTTGCTAGAACACATTCGAGTATCACAGCAGAAGAGCCACCCGCACACACTTTAGAGACTACCTTTATATGGTGTAGAGCACTCTAGCATCGACAAAACAATCATTGCCTAGGAGTTATATGTCATCAATTAATGTTTACTCAGTTTTTTCATGGTGTGCTGAATGGTTTTGCTTGAATGACAAACATGGAAATAAGAGGTCATTATTATCTATTATTCTCAATACAAGCATTTTGAGGCTATGGGCTGCTTAAAAATAGTGGTTCAGGAAACAAAGCTCGCTCTCTCCTGTTTTTCAACTGTAAAATTTGTGTGATCTTCCCTGAACATTTTGTCTGGCCTATAAAACTTATAGTGAACTTGCAGTATCCTATAAAAATATTCCATGTTTTTCCACAGAAAGTCTGACTTCTTTATTGTGCAAAATTTCAGGATATTAGGTCACAGCATCCCACCACACGATATCACTGAAAGGTAGCCTACGACTATCCAGGACAATGCAAAAGGGTCTCAGCTCAGTATTGCAACCGTAACCCTCACAAACTGAGCTCAAGTACATATACAGATGAAAATCAAACATTTGGCAAGATTTGCCAGAGGCAGCTCAGCCTGTGTTGCACAAGCATGGTTACAGTCATTAAAAGGTTTTGTTTGTTTTTAAATGCAGAGACAGGATAGATTCTGAAGACTAATTGCTATCGCTGGCAAAAGCAATGACACACTCCTCATCCATATGGACTTCTGATGCTGCTGAGCAGAATCAGAAGAGATTTTGGAATCTATGAAAGGGTGCATTTTGTTCTTATTTTTTTTAAGGGATTTCTTAAGCCTGCCTCAACGCACTTGAGATTTTTCCTAGTACAGCCCAGGCTTTTATATTGTCAGTGAACTCATGATATTTCAAATCTAAACCAAAAGATCTTTGGCAGAAAGTTAAATGATGAGAAAGCATAGGAAAAGGTAATCTGCACCAAAACTTCAGATTTTAGATGCATAATTTTTCCATTTACTGTTGCAACTACATGAACAGATTTGAGTTCTCTCAACTTCAGAATTCAATGATTAAATAAAGGTTATAACTCTGCAGGTAGTAACATATTTCATTTGACAGTGATCAAACACTAAAGGGTAGGTTCCCTTCTGGAATAAGCATATACCTTGCGACAGCAACAGAATTAAAGTAAGTTTCTTGTAACAGCTTATGTATTAAATTATGCAGGACTTCAGCCAAGAGGGTTTGCATCTTGATACACACAGAGCAAGAATATTTCCATCTTGGTTCATATCTGTCCATCTCCTCGTACTTCCTGCCAAATTAAGCAATCAGAAATTGCTTGATCAGCCACTTCAGTGTTACAATATTGCACTTTCACAGCTTTAGCCTTCCTCTTCACATTTTACTGTTTTCTGTGTCAAATCCTTTGCGCTTTGTATAACACTCTTTTAGCAACCACCACTCCCGTTGCATCTTCATAAATAATGTACCTAACCAATCCTTTGCGCTTTGTATAACACTCTTAGCAACCACCACTCCTGTTGCATCTTCATAAATAATGTACATAACTCAGCCCCCTTCTACCTAAAGAAGGGGACAGTACACAGGTTAGTTCTGCAGAATGCCAAACACACTTAGGAACATAAATATTCCCTGCAAGAAAAAACTGACTACAGACTGTTGCATCCAAACACCCTGCTTTTATCTTATTTGCCATAGCAAGTTTATTTTAAAACAGTATTCACTGTATCAACTTTAAAAAACTAACCCAGTCTGTCTTAATTTATATGCTATTGGCACCCAGAAATTTCACTTGATGCTGTGAGTTTCAGTTAAATGCCCATTCTCATGGGGTGACTGAAAAGTTCTATTTGCTCATAACGAGTAATGTCCTCATTCATCTGGAAGTTAGTCTTTAAATGGCCCAAGAAAGCAAACATACACAATTATATCATAAAAGGTACATTATCTATAAAAAAAAGCCAAGAGGGAGATGTTACCTGCGACTTCACCACTGAAATTCTTAATGGCCTATCAAAAACCAGGTAAAGCTAATAATGCTAAACAAAAGAACAAGCAGCCTCCGTTCTCCATCCCTTTCATCTTGATGCGTGTCAAAACACATTGCATTAGGACAGCAAAAATCTAGTATTTTATAAAAGGGGAAACAAGAACAGAGCTGTGAAATAACATGCCAAATGGTAACTCAGTAGTCCTGCATTATCTGACAGCCTGCAAGTGTACTTTCATGACATTCAGTTATAAAAATGTTCAGATAATATAACCTATATCCCAACTGAAGAGTGCAAAAGGAGTACTCAACTTCCAAAGACTATTTTAATAAAACTGCATCAGCAGTTTAGTACAAAAGTAACATAGTGTTTTAATTATAAGCTCTTTATGTCCAAGACCAAAGTTTGCCCTTATTTAAAGCAATGTTTTAAATGGCTATCCTCCAGCACTAAAGTACTTCAGTGGTTCTTGCTTTACAAGGCGCACATAAAATGTGAGTTCTGAAGCCCTCTCCTACGGGAACAAGCAGAGATGGATTTTACCACTCCAATATTATGCTACTACTTCTGTACAGATGGCTAATAAAGAAACTAGTGAGCTGCCATGGTTTACAGCCTAGATTCTCACAGTACTTTCAGCAAACAGCATTCTCGCTTATATGCTACAGCCTTAAAGGACTTGCTGAAAATGACACTCAATTCTAAGATGCTAATTACAATCCCACACCACTTGAATGGTAAAGAAGCCGAAAAGCGTTCCATTTTATGATGGAAACACGTATATAGTAAAGCAAGCCCTAGCAAGGCAATAGGAATGTCAGTTAAGATAACCCAAATACAAAGTACACAACTGGGAGGGGGGGGCCAAAAAAAAAAGTAAGCGGGCCCACTCAAACTGCTTTCTTTTGTGAGATTTTTTTAAGTTTGTTTCAATTGTCTCTTATTTTTGAAGTCCTTTATATCATCATAATGCCATTAAGTCATAATGTTAGAGCATAAACACTGTTGGTGTTTTCTACTGTCTCATAATTAGCTACTCAGCTTTGAACAACTCAGCTGACAATTTAGGAAGTTCTAGCGGCATGGTCTTCAAAGCACATCTGTTGAAATAGAAAGGTATGAACTCTCATGAATTTTGAGCACTTAAGTAATTTAGCAATATAAGTTTCACTCATTATCAGAAGAGGTCAAGGGAAAAGAGACCAGCATCCATCTTTCCTGACAAATGCTCACTGGAAGGTTTGCCAAAAACCACCAACCAACCAGCTCATCTCTCTTCTTCCCAAGTTAATTCAGGTGGTTGAAGAACAGGAAAGAGAAATGTTCAATTTAATTTTCTTTTAGAAACCCAGTCTATTTCTGATTGCATTAGGCTGGAGAGGCCTCTGTGCTAACAATGCCTCAGAGGCATAACAATATTCTGAAATAGGGGAAAGAGGAGATTTTTCCCTCGTTTAAATAAAAACCTGCAAAATGCTTCTTATGAAAAGGATTTCAAAAAAGTGAGAAAAGTGTATTTCATTTAAAACTTGCTGCTCTGGAAAAAGTTATATTAACAATATTTCAAAGCCAAGCTAACACGGTAACTAATTCTCAAGTGACCCAGAAGTCAAGAAAGATGCTGCGTGCAAGAAAACCACTGTGCTCTCTTTTCTATAAGAGCAGAATCCCCCTTTTCACAGAATCACAGAATCGTTTAGGTTGGATGGGACCTCTGGAGATCATCTAGTCCAACATCCCTGTTCAAGCAGGGTCACCTAGAGCATATTGCCCAGGATCACATCCAGGCGGGTTTTGAATATCTCCAGCGAAGGAGACTCCACCACCTCTCTGGGCAACCTGTTCCAATGCTCTGTCACCCTCACAGTGAAGAAGTTTTTTTCTCAGGTTCAGTCCAATGAACAATTTTCAATCCAATGAACAATTAATTTTAACTATTCCAGTTCATCCCATTCCATCTCACTGCTTCAAGAACGTTAGATTCCAGGGCACAAGGTAACAAACTTCTGGAAAAATAATTAAACTACAAGAACTTTAGGCTTACTTGCAAAACAGCAAAAATATACGTCTGACACTGCATTAATGCATTTTAAACATTTACCAGCACACAGAAACAACTGCAAACTAAGTTATTTACAAAAACTTTGTTTTTCACTGTCTTATTGAATGGCAGTCTATTACAATGTCGATGTTTGAAGTTTTTAAAATAACATCATAGTTAAATAAAATCAGAACATAAACAAAAGGAGCCTCACTGGCAATAACAAAGCCTTCGTCCGACTCCTCTGTAACTTAATTATTTAAGTACTGAAAAAAAAAACTTGTATAATAAAAACAAGTCTTACTACATGAGGAAAGAAATCAAGAATAATTTTCATAACAGACAAGAGCAGGGACACAACAGACAAGTTTGACAAACAGGCTAGGTGTCACTTGAACAAATGCTAGCAATCAACACAGAGATAGTGAATCTGGTAGAACTCATAATACATCTGGCTTCTTCTACTCAAGTACCAGAAAAATCAGTAGGGCCAGTTGGATAAAAGAGGCTCCAAAATACAATTTTAGTAGTCTTCTCAGAAACTGAGGTCTTAAATAACATTTGGTTTTCCATCTTCTTTTATCAAATTCCCATTTGTATAGATGATAAATCACACCTGCAGCCAGTTCTACCTTGGCAAGCTCAGTTTGTAGAATAATATGAATGGAAAACCTTGTAATAAACTAAGCTACTGTAAGTTCATAAACTAATTGCTATTTTAATTTAATTTCTTTCTGTGGTTCCACCAGCAACACATCAAACTCCAAGGCACTACAATGGATACATGCTATGAGACTATCTAAAGGTAGTCTGAGTTTTTACTGATGATAATCATACATTTGATGTCAAGATGAGTGGTCCTCAGGTAGCGGAATACCAGGCTGCCAACAGAAATATCCACCTTCAACTACAAAAAGTACTGAAGGGTCATGGAATACAGGAACTCCAGCAAGGTAACACAACCCACCCCTGAAGCTTGGTTTTGAAGTCTCCTAAGAGACTTTGCCTGATTAGGTTACATAGTTAAGTAACATGCTGATTTGGTAAAAGACATCAGAAAGTTCAAGTGTATTAACAGAAATACATTAAAAATAATAAAGCGAGCAGTGAGGAAAGTAAGTTCTCATGAACTTGCACCTTACTATCCCCCTATTACAATTATCTACAATCCCCCTAAGACTTCAAAACATAACCTGCAAAACCCAGCAGCCGAGAAGGTATACCGCTAACATATTAACTTAAGAGCTGACCAGATACTGCTCCACAATTTTTAGTCAAAGACGGCTAAGATTTTATGCAGAGCTTGCAAGAATTGTTCAGGTTATTTCTACCATCTTTCACTGCCACACCTGGGCAAGTTCCTTTTGCAGGAAGATCATATTATATCTCAACCGTATTTCAGCCCTAGGGAAAACACAAAACACAGAAACAGGTTAAGAAGAAAGTTTTACCTTACTGTCTTCCCACGTGGGTATACCGAAGGCCACCCAACACCTCTTTCCAAAGTATACTATCTCACTCCAGAGCTGCTTGAAATTAAGCATGCAATTACCCCAGCACTCAAACGCATACTGGTAACAAGGCAGGCTTGTGTTACATTTACTGTACAACAAAAATTATAGGCAATATATATAAAGCAATTCTATTTAACTGATGATTTCCTCATTGATGTGGAGTTTGTTTATTCACTAAGTGAATTTAATTTGAATTCATTTCCCATTTCATTTCCCTTAAGTAATTATCTATTTTCTTGAGAATTAAGTTCATATCAAGGTCTATGTACTCTTTAAAAAATGAAACTGGCAAGTTTTTAAATAAACATGAGCATATTTCTTCTATTGCACTAAAAAAAAAAATCACGTGTACCCGTTTTCTTAAGTCATCTTGTTGCTTCCTATGAATTCATGAAAGTCTGAGGTGGAGACTAAGCAGAGAGAGAAAACACAATGCAGTCAAGTCATATCAAACTTACACTTGGTTTTATTCCTGTGTCCAGGTACCTGAGATTGGGTATTAACCAATTCTTATATAAGGCTGATGACACATTAAAATTAGACAAACCTCTATTATTTTCTGATGAATAAAAAGTGGAAGTTGCTGACTGTTTCTCTAAATCAAATAATGACTTAGTAGTATTGGGTGCACAAAACACTCTTTAAAAGTTAAATAGCTTTGGAATAAAACTTTAAAATTCAGTTATTCAAAAAATATTACATGGAAAAATCTTGAAAGAGTCCTTTTTTTCCTCTGTCTTCAATAATTCTGCCTCTTCAAAAACACACTCTGCAAGAGAACTTCTGCAGAGAAGGGACGTTTTGAAAGCTGCTGTTATAAAAAGTTACCAGGAGAATAGGTCATATATTTCAAGTCCAGGCAGTCTTTGCAGCAATTTGTTGCGATGGTTGTCAAGTCAGTTATTCATATCTTGTTCCAGAGTCTTTGTAAGACCATTACTTTTGTTCTCTTCTAGGTAAGCAGCCCTTTTCTTAGTCAAAGTAGCAAAAAGCGCATCCATCATTCCCAAAACTTCTAGTAGTTCCTCTTGATAGTCAATCTCTTTTCCTATGGCTTCCTGGAGTTTCAAGAACTGTTTATCAACAAGCGCTGACTGTCCAACCACAGGCTGATAAATGTCTGCAAAGAAACAGTCACTTAGTAGTCCACACATCTATAAAGACATGAAAATTATAGTGGCTAGATAGATACACATTTAAGGAGTCTGGCAATAGCTGGATGCTGTGGACAAATAACACAACTTCAATGGTGCTCTAAAAAAGGTGTTAATTATTGGCATATTCTCACAGTAATGATAAGTTGAACTAACAGAAGCAGAAATTTTTACTACCTCAAAATAGTCTTTTTACTACCTCAGTGGAGAAGCTGAAGTCACTTGAACTATGCAAGTACGGAAATATAAAGCATCAAATACGTTTAGTACTGATGAAGAGCTTTCTGCAGTCATCGCAAGTCAGACTCAGATACTGAGCGTGGTCAAAGCTATCTGGATCATTCTTTCACCGCTGATGAACAAATTTATAAAATAAGTTTGTACTTATAAAATAACCCATATAGGTGTGATTTGTTAAAGAGATAGCACTTCATAACACCTTATTTCCAAACTCAACATTAGGGCTTTGAGAATCTTCTTTGTGTGTTATACTTACCAGTGATCATATCTGCAACAGTTACCAGTACAGGAGTAAATCTAGGCTCAATCACACGCCTGCAAAATTAGAACACAACCCAATTTTACCATTTTTGCCAACTGTCCTTCTCCTTCCACCAACCTTCTCCAACTTCCACCAAAGATTAGACTTCTTTTTTCATAAAGAATCCTCACAAAGCAAGACTCGCAGAGCTGTGAGTCAAAAGACTTACATGCGGTATTTACCCTTTTGCAGAGAAGGCAGCAAGGTATAGAGGACAAGCAAAAACATCAGGTATATGCAGACGTGAGTTTCATCAAGACAAAAAATAGCAGTACTAGAGGTAGAATATCAGGCAAAGAGGGAAGATACACTTTCTTTGTGTCTCTCATATTATCAGCAAATTTGTTTTGTGCTAACATGTAAACTATTTCAGTACTCTGGGTGAAATCCTAGACCTTGATATCCGAAAGCAAAAGGCATACAGATTTCAGGAGTACCAGTGTTCCACCCGTGATCTCTTGAGACTACATGGCAAAAGCTAACAAGAAATGCAGGCCTCAAAGTAACTGCTCAGAGAACATTTTTAGAAAAAACAAAATACCTTGTCACAAAGGTAAGGAGGAGACTAATTTGCTTCTCGTCTCGGCCAGCAAGCGCACTCCTTAGTGTCCCTCTGCGATTTAGTTCCTGCATGACTGCAACTGTAACTTCAGGAGTATACAGCCTGATGTGGGGCTGGACATACATAAGAAGAGTTTAGTACCAAGCGCCATCTTCAAACACAAAGCAGAGTTGATACCAGTTTGCAAATAAATAAATAAGAATGCCCAAGGAACTCATGTAGGTTTGATTCCTTTCTAGTTCTACACTAGAATAAAGTTAGTCTGAGATAAAGCAAAATTCATTTCAGATGACAGAACTCAACTTTGATAAGACAACACAACAGCACCATACCTCCAGTACTGCATCAAGGGCCTTGGATGACTGAAAGCTCTTCAGCAGCTTGTCATACTTCCTCAAAACACATTTTCCAGGTTTACTGACATAGAAATCCTCCTAGAATTGAAAGACAAGTTCAGAGTAAGGCAAACACGTACACAACGGGTTAAATAATTTATTATCATGAAGAAGCTTATGTGTCTTTGCATCTTTCCTTCCCCCTTCCTCTTCTTCAACACAGCCCAAGAAAACAACAGCAGCAGCAACAATGAAATCTTGAGAACTTCAGTATACATTTTCTCACCCCGCCATACCTGTTTTGGCATGTAATTTCTTCCTTTTACATAGGTTCTATATGCTGGCTGTCTCTTCTTTTGAGACTTTTCTTTGCTTTCTTCGGGTTTTCTATGTTTAACATTTAGCACCCCATTGGTCATGCCTACAACTATGGTTTCATCTTCAGGCTAAAATGAAAAAAAATCAGTTAGCAACCTAGTGTCTTTGTTTGATGATGCATGCTATACCATCGCAGCTTTTTCAATTTTCATGCTTCATAATAAGGCTCCAATCACAGGAATATAGAATAATTTAAGTTGGAAGACACCTCTGGAGGTCCTATGGTCTAGCTCCCTGCTCAAAGCACAGCCAGCTTCAAAGATGCAGTCCTAAGCAACAAGATCTAGCTAACAAACCTTTGATGTTAAAGTTCAAATACGCGATAACATCATTCTGTTTCAGGTTGCAAACGCCTATAATTCATGACTGTTTTTTAAATGGTGTTCGGTTCCCTTTGGCCAATACATGCTATACAACAAATACGCCATTCGGCTATTACACGCTATACGAACAACATCTATTAGAAAGCTATCACTGAATAGCAGTTTTGAGAATAAAGCGAAAATTGTTCAAAATATCAGTCACTGGTACAGATTCTGTATAGCAAGGTTATATTTATTTAATGCTAAAGGTTATAATAAGTGATGCATGGGGAAAAATAGTAACTTCACATACAAAACAATGGTTTCTGACCTATTACTACTAACAGATAACTCTATGAAAACATCAGCTTAATGCTCAACAGCTGTTAAGAAAAGCAAATAAAGTGTTAGGAATTACTATAGAAGAAATAAAACAGAGGTCATTATGCCACTGAATAAATCAATGGTTTGCCCACCTCTTAAATCCTTGGAGGATCCTATTCTCAAAAGATAGTAGCAGACTTGGAATAGAAGAATCAAAAAAATAAAAAAGAAGAATACAAGATTGGCTTGATTTGAGGTAAAACTAAGGGAGGTAGAACTGTTCAGCATGGAAAAAGGGCTTCTTTTACATCCCTCCTCAGATGTCTTACAGAATCACAACAGGCATGGATGGAGACAGTGGATGGAGATCAGCTGTTCAGTCTCTTTCAGGAGCATTAGATGAAGTTCATGAAGGTTAAAATGGAATAAAAGGGTGTAATTCTTCACATAACAGGTAGCAGACCTGTGGAACTCCTTGTTAAAGAAGTCTTGTGAACGTTAAAAGCTTGCACAAGCTCAAGGTGGGACTGAACAGGTTCATGTAAGAGAAATCCATTGAGGGTTACACAGACTATATCCAGATCAGCAAATTTCCCACCTTGAAATAGTTGGGAGTTTGGGAAAGTATCAGGAGACACATCATACATGCTTGCCCTGTTTTTACTTTTCCGTACGCATCTGCTTATGGCTACAGCTAGAAGCAGGGGTCTGGGATGGGAACGACCTTTGGCCTGACCCAGCATAGCTGTTCTTATGTCCTCATGTGACCATTTAAAACTCAAGGTACTTAATCAATATAAAACAAAAGATTATATTTGAAAGATGCCTACAGAGATGCCAAACTACAGGATTTGCCCCTGATGTTTTGTAGTTGCTACAGAAGCTTAAGGGCTTTGGTTTTTTGGTTCTGTGAAAAATATGCCCTACCTATAATCTTCACCTCAAGCTAAGTCATTCAAAGCTCGTTATAGCTCTAGCCATCTTGTACTCACTAAAACAGAAAGGTGGGGAAGAACAAGGGAAGAACCCCTGCGTTCCCCATGGTTCCACTAAGGGAAGGGAAATAGCAACGTAAGAGGGCTGGTATCCCTGGCATTCCATTGCATGTATCCCTCAGAGGCTAGATAGGAGGGTAACTGCACCACAACAGCAGTGTTTACAAAAAGCGGTGCTGGCCTTCAACCTTCCTCCCAGGTCGTTTATCCACTGGAACTCAAACGGCCTGGAGAAACGAGTGCCTTTGTTTTCTCTTTCTGAGACAATGAGACACCCACCTGGACAGACAAGTTCGATTCTGGTCATACCTATGCCATCTTTTATTCCTCAGACCAACCTGACACTAATGACTTCTAAGGAAGGTTCATCCCATTCCAGATTTTTCAATCAAAAAATGCATTACTTCTTCCCTTTACCACTGCCATGAAAAGAGACTCAAAAGGTTCCTGAAAAGCAAAAGATGAGTACAATCTTCTTAAAAGCCAAAAGACATGGCTATTTCCTTGTGAACTACCTGTCTTCCCCATGATGATGATATTGTCCTTGACACACACACAATTCTGTACTGATTTAGCAAGGTATTCAGCAACTGGTACCTTATCTATAACATTTAAAACTTCTTAGTGCAATGTTTGCTAAGGAGCAATATATTCAGTGACCCTATTTTGCATGCAGAGAATTCTTCTGAATGAACAGTAAAAAGCAAAAAGGAATTACTTAAGCTACTTAAAAGTTGTTGGTAATTATCTTGCCTACAAAGGTTTCTAATGTACTTACCGACAGCGCAAGACTGAGGATTGATGTTGCATAGTTAAAACTGTGGACTACTTTGTAGGAAGTTGTACTGTAAATCTTCACATGCCTATACAGAAAAGTAATGATTAAAACTTTGCTATTAATACCTTATTGTAGACACTTTGGAAGAATTTCATCCTTCTAAAGTTCTGTTAGATCAGTTTAAGGAAACTGAGTTTTTAAACAACACTCTCTTCAGACTACCACTGAACTTATTCTTCATTATTGTTCCTGTAATAACAGAAAAATTCTAATAAAAGACACGTAAAAGGCAAGAAAGGATTACCCTTACCCCCAAAAGGTGACAACAGGGGGAGGATACAAAAAGAAAAAGAGGGAAGACATAGAGACCATCTGAATCTAGCAACACTTATTACGAAACACTAAGACAGCGGAAGGATTTTTTTTTTTTTTAATTTTAAATGGAAGATCTATTTACAATTTATGGAAGCAAATACATGGATATTATTGCCTCCTACTGCTGTTTAATGATCTGGCATTAAAAGCATTGAATGACAAATAGGTACAAAGTTAGTGATCTTCAGCTCATGCTTTCTGAATACAGTACTTGAGTAAGCCTAGGAAGTACCAGAGGAAGGAAGGAAGAGAACAAATCACTGTCATTTCAGGCTATTGGTTATGTCTCAGAGACAACAAGTTGAATAACTGTAGTCAGCAAGAGGAGGCGGAAGTAGGAACAGAGGGACATCCTGCAATGAGACCATATTTGACTTGTGCACCTCGGGCGCATCCCTTCCACTGATAAGAGTCAGTTTGAATGACAGGAAGAAACTTACTGCACAGATACGCAAAAATAGGGTCTTTTAAAGGTGAATACTAATAGCGGTTTTAGTGACTGCATTAAAGTAAAGTAAGAATGGTCTCTTTACCAAGACTGCAAAGGTCAGTTTACAGATTCAGAAAAACGAATGCTCACTGAAAAGTGCCACACATCCATTCCCAACTGGCAGGTGCAATTCCCACCGATATTCAGGCTAATAAGAGGGAAAGGCAAGGGTGTACTGCAACATGCACCTTGGACCAAAAATGTTTCCAGATAAATTACATCCCTAACAATTAAAAAAAAAGTCTCAGGTCGAAACATCTGCACAGCTTCATTCTGATATTTTACCTTCAAAGGGAACAAAAGAAATCCTAAGGAATTTAAATCACAACAAAGTCATAAAAATATACTAACCTGTCCAGGGATCCTGACAGTAACCTTTGTCCAGAGCTGTTCAGGCATAAACAAGTAACAGTTTTATGGTGATTTTTAAGTGAAACTAGCAATTGTCCACCTTTTAGTACATCCCAAACTTTGACATATCGACCTCCTATGAAAAGGAAGCACACAGAATGGTTTTTGACACAGACACACACACACACAGAGTTCTGTTCCTTTGTTTTCAGAGTGAAAGTATACACTGCTTCCTCCTTTGTAACACTGAGCTTTCTGTACCTACTCAGCATCCATTACAAACAAGGGACAAGGCAGATAACAAGTCTGCTCCTTTTTTCAGGTCATTCTGCAAGCACAGCTGACTATCTCAATAACCTCCTTATAAAAAAAATTTAGATTCGGCACTGGGTCACAGGACTTCTGATGCAGTAAGAGGAGACTAAAAAGTCTTGCTAAGCGTCATCATTAAGAGAAAGGTACAGTCCCATCCTTTCAAAACAATTCTTAAATACGTTCTTTCTTTCACTTCAGCACTGGGTCAATTAAAGTATTTATCTAGCCATTAAAATTTTCTTTTATTTTTGACTGACTACAACAAAAAGCTAATCAGAGACAAAATACCTCTGCCTTCACCCTCTGGATCAACACAGATTCCCAAGGAAGACCTCTAAGAAATCCACCTGTTAAGTCACTTACCATTATATTGCCAAATAAAAACATTACACAGGAATTAAGTAGCTGAAATGCCTCTCAAATTAGGGCCAACAGAAAAGAAAGTTAATTTCATTCAGGTACCTGCAGATACTAGAAGCCCCCCAGAAGGGAAGAGAAGCACACTCTCCACAGGCTGGCCATGTTCTATTGTCATGACACTTTTTTTTGTTCGTGCATCAAATACTTTCACAGTGTGATCATAGGAACCTGTAATCAACATCATAAATAACTGAAATTTAGTTCTTGAAATAGTTTCACTTTCATAAACAGCCACATGCTACAAGCTAAAGGAGCTCCTGCCAGATGGAAACAGCCTTGAACTATACATTTAAAATACCCAGTGTTTTACCCAGTTAATTCACAGCCTTCAGACAGCATACAGCTTTCAATTCTAGACCTATCAACATGTCAGGCCTTATATAAAGTCTTAACCATATTTTCCTTTCATTCTTAAGTGTAAATATAATAACAAAAATCAGAAAGCCTGATGAAACCTGTGTCTTACGCGTCTAAACGTTTAAGTTTTAAGACCACAAGTTTTAGGCTGCACAAATTACAACGGAACATGTCTCCTTCCAAAACCTGACAAAGCATTTCAGTCAATGCCAGCTAAAGGATGAATTCACAGGACTGACTTAAGCTTTCAAAGGCAAGTAACCTTGGCAGGCTAAAGCACAAACAATATCAGTGTTACGACAGTCAAACCCCTTAAAACAGAAAAACAAGCAAAAAGTAAATGACAAAGTAGGCACAAAGCAGGAGGACAGATCTTTCATGTTTAATTTGTAATCAGAGAGATCCTCCTGGATCAAAGAGAAACCATCTTTCTCAATTTTTCTTCACTTTGATCCAAAAGAAGCATTTAAAAAAAGAAAACAAACCTGTTATAAAGACATCTGCATTCAGTTTACTCGCACAGCCACATCTCACGTAGTCCGTATGCTCGCTGTATGACACAATTTCTGTAGCACTGGGAATATCCCACAAATTTGATGAATAATCATCACCACCAGAAAATATTCGGTATTTATCAGACAGAAAGCCCACTACATGAACAGCTCTAGGAAACAGAATCCACAATATCCAAAAGTTAAAACATATACTTGTTTCCAGAACACTTAGTTTGTCTGCAGCATTTTTTAAAATAAAGTATTCCTTCTACTTTAGAAGTTAAAAATACTTTAGTTTTTGTATTTTCAGCTGGAAAAAGATCATGCTGACGGGTGCTGATCTAAGCACCAACATGATCTGCCTTAAGTGTTTTACAGGGCTACTGGATGCTGTAAATTTTTTGTTTCTCACTGAGGTCTGTATATTAGTACTCTAAATTTCTAATTAGTAAATTTTAAGATTGGTTTGGAAACTCTTCTTATCCTTTAAAATCACTATTCAAACCCATATTATCACTGTAACATCCCAACAAAGAACAATCTTGACAGAAAACACAGACACCCTGAAACTTATTTACGGGTAACCTAGAGTCATAAGATAAGACCCTATCTGCAGCCAGAGAACTACAGTGCAAACACACTCTTGAGTTCTGCCTATGTGCTTTCCAATTCTATTAAAGTGAGTTTGTTGTTGCTGTAGATAGATAAAATATCTACAGTTTTCCACAACACAGCAGTCTACATAATCTAAATATTACTGCTGTGTTCTTTCTATAAAACTGATAAGCCTATTTCAAACATTTTTCTTCTTCTCACTGGAACATAAGAGCTCCTCCTCTTCTATCCCCCTGCCTTTCTTTTTTTTTTTTTTTTCTCCAAGTGTTTTTAGAACTCTGTTTCTCCCAGCATCAAACAGAATTTGCTTATCACTACAATGTAGTCACAAGACTATACATACACAATATATTAATTAACGGACACCTGCCTGAATTAGAAGATACATTTATTCTTCCACGTACTCAATTCATTTTTGGAAATAAAAAAATATATATTGCCACTCCAAATCTGACATTAACATTTAAAACCCCTCTTTTCAACAAGATGACTGTGAGACAGTTGGATATAACACAGATTAATATTTTTAAGATTTCCAGCAACACGCAAAGCAGACACATGTAAATGCACGAGCAAGCTTATACATACAAGGAACAAAACAACACTGTCTTACTTAGTATGACCATCAAACTGTCTCAGTGGTGCTCTTCCACTGATATCAAAGAGTCGAATGCTACCTTCTTCACTGCCAGCAACAAGCAGTTTGCCATCATCTCTGTATGTGGCACAGTAGGCAGCATCTTTGAAGCGAGAAAATGTTTTGATTGGTTCCTGAGAGTAACGACCATAAATGTGGATCTAGCAAAACAGGAAGACATTAAGTTCACTCATATGGTACCAAGTGACAAATCAAGTAAGACCATTTACAAAGCCAAAGAACATAACAACCTCAAAAGAAGAGCACTTACCCTTGAGGAGGCTGTGACAGCATAGTTATATGGAGAAACTGGGGAGAAGTCAATCTTGTTTATGGCACCAAATTCCTTTATCTGAACAGGTGTCTAAAAGAATTGTAATAAAGATTCTCAAATATACAGAAGTATGCTAGCAAAAACTAAAGTAGCAACGCTAAATCTACTATTCTTTCAATACAGTACTCAAAATCCTCTCTGGGACCTATTTACTTTTTAAAAACACTCCCATTAAGTTTCTCTCCTGCCAGCCTTCTACAGCTTTGTAGACTGCGGATGCACTTTTAACATTTCTTATTCATGCCTTACAAACGATCCATTAATTATGCATGTCATTCGAGCACACAAAAAGCTCATCCATGCACGCTCAAAAATAGTTTGATTACGCTAACGAAGGCGATAAAAAACACTTCAGGACACTAGCTGTGTGCATCGGGGCCAACTTGCGCTACAAGTCCGCCTAGTTTTCTAGGAAGTCATTCAGCGAGCTTTGACACAGGACGGAACAGCGCTACCGAGACGGCGGCCCGTTACTCAGAAGCTAGAGGGGCGGCGGCGGCGCCCCCC